CACACACACAAAGCAGTAGTCCTGCACAGCGGGAGGGGAGGAGGGAAAAAAAGGCAGAAACACAGTGGGGCAGCTGCAGCCCTAACGGACCAAACTTCAGTYAAACAAGACCCAACACTTTTATTCCTGATTTAAACTAGTGATCTTGAGAGCAGCTGCAGCTGTATGCTTTTATTTTTTTCTGTCAGGCTGTCGCGGAGCTCTCCACTCCTCCGTCCTGTGAGGCAGACTGCTCAGCTGAGGCTGTCACGTTCTCTCGTCCTGGCCACACCTCCGCTCTCTAACCCCTCCTCCCCTACCCACACCCCCCTCCCCTACCCACTTTGATGCATTTTTCAAATTTCGCCTTGGGGCGGAGTTATCTTTTCACAGCGGGGTAAGATACACTTTAAGATGCAAACCCCAGAACACACAATCGTGTGTTTGCAGGGTGTTTCATGGTTTACTGTGCTTTTGTAACACGTTCACACCCGTCGACCACCATACTTATTGCATCTTAACCATAAATAACACGCTTACCTTCTCCTCTAGGGAATTGTTATATGTAGAGAGGTATCTCGTTGATTCAGCTGCCAGCTGACACACCCACTTGTCATCTTGAATCGATGTCAAGGTTTTAGACAAGAGCTGAGGACAATTAGAATCACATCCAGAATGTTTGACCAAACAGACTTTTACAAAATTTAAAATCAGTCAAAAAAACTCTCTCCTGTTTAAACTTCTACAGCCTAAAAGCTGTAATGAATATACATAAATACAAATTAGCACTAAAAGCTTACATTTAGCAGCCTCTCATCCCAGTCCTTTTTATCCAGACTCTCTGCTGTTGACTCTGACAAACAACAACACAATGAGTGTAAACTCTGACGGTACAGGCTTCCTCTAAAAACCATCACTTCATATGAATAAGCTGAAATGAGTTTTTTTGTACCTTCTAACAGTGAAACCAGAGGAGGTATTTCTTTCTCCCAAACTTTCTCTGCATTGGGGTGAATGTTGACACTGAGGATTTGGAGAAGCGATAAGGACGGGGCTCCATGACCTCTGCTGTTGAACGGGAACGCTGCGTTGACCTACGGCGGTTTGTTCACAAACCACGACAAATGAAATCACACAACATATCTTTAAATAAAGCAGCAGCAAAGGTGTAAAACTAAAGTTGTGTTGTTTGTTTCTGCTTTCTAACATCTACACTGTTCAAACCATAAAACTGGGGGGAACAGTTTTAGCTTCAGAGGTTTGTGACTGAAATCTAAAATAATAATAATAATAATAAAATAAAATAAAAACTGGCTCAACTAAGTGGCCTTAATTATCCACCCGATGCAAAAACTTTACAGCTCCTTTACAGTTTGAGTGTGATGTCACATTCACAGTAGCTTGCAAATACTAAAGTAAAGTGAGTTTTCTTACCAGGAGTCTGATCATTAGAGTTTGAGGAGACGGCAGATTAACTGATGGACAAAGAGAAGACCAGAATGTGTTAAAGCTGTTTACATGTAAAAATATACTTTAAACTGGTCATGTACAGTCGATTCACATTTTAATTAACATGGATGCCTTAAGTCTGTGAAACATCTTACTAACCTTCCTGTTTAAAGTTGATGATGAAGCTAGGATCCTGGTTGCTTTTCTTCTTGTTTCCCAGCACTATGAGGCTCTTACAGAGAGGTGTGGTGGCATTGCTGTACTGTGAAGGGGTCAGATAGTACAGCAGCTTGGGCCATAGTACCTTCAAACACAGAAGGTACACATATTAAATACGTTAGCAATTACTATCCCCCGACAACTCACACACAGAGACCAGCAGACAAGCAGATCTTTACATCAGCTAGTCGTCCAACAGTAGTGGTTAAGAGATGGAGTGTGTTGTCACACATTGCCCTTAATGCCTCATTAGTCACCTCTTCTTGATCAGGGGGCCTTTGACCTCTCTAACATGGAGAGAAGGACAAAACATTTAGTGCCTGGATTAACAACTAAATTATCAATTAAAAAAATATGAGTGTATGAGAATGCATACTTGTGAAGAGTCAACATGTGCAGATAGAAACTTTAAATCTCAGCTGCTGCTAAACTAAGTTCAGAGTGAATCCATTTATTTATTTTTTCAATACTGTCAGGTACATAAGCCTGCAGTTTCATACACCTAAACTAAAAAAAACAAAACAATTTTTAACCATATGCCATTGCTAATGTACATAAACTAACTGTATGAATGAACCATCAGATGAATAATAAAGACGTTTAAAGTGAAAGGATGGTTTACCTGATAGGTGTCAAGTAAAGCACAGTTTTGAACTATAAATCTAACCAGTAACTCTCCTCCCTCTAGTTCCAGATAACCATGATGAGCCATGGCACTGATTACTTGGACCACACGCTTCTTCACCTAGGAAATATAAATAAAAATGAATTGATAAAGAAATGCCATGTTAATGAGTAAAGTTAAAGCACAGTTTCTAAAGGTGTGTTACCTCGTTACTGTGGTCAGCCATTGGCTGTCTAATGCTGGCCAGAAGAAGCAGCTTTTTGCTCTCCATTGTAGAAGCTGTAACACACAGAACATGGTATTTGTACTTTACAGCCAAAAAATAACAAAACAAAAAACACACACAACCGCTGACGGGAGTGCGACAACTGATAAATTACAAAGAGTATATGTTGGATCAGTTATCGTGTTTGCTCACTGGAGGAGTTGATGAGGTGACGGAGAACAGCCAGGGAGCCCAGCCTGCTTCTTTCATTACTGTTCTCCATCTTCTGAAGAACAAACATAACCATCCGGTCTGGGAAAGAGTTGGCTAAAGAGAAGAGGGGAAATGAACAAGTGTGAACAAAAATCTGAGATCTGCAAGATGATAAATAATATTAAACTAAATGAAATCACAGGGTTAAAACCAGTAAGCAATGGGAGGGTGAAGCTGCGGAGCAACTTGCAGAGTTAACATGATTATCTTGGAGGAGACAGAGTCCAACACATAATGTCATTACTGCACATGTGACACCAAAGAAATCCAGATAAACTGTCCAACAGGCTGGGTCTGTTACTTTACACTCAACCTGTTGCACTCAGTTTCATTTTACTGTAAATATATTTAACACTTAACAAAAAACGTACAAATAAAAGTAAAAAAAGTAATCTGTACCAAGCAAGCTGAAGCAGCGCAGGACCTCATTATGGTTCTTGACAGTAGGGGGGTCACTGTAATGAACAGGGGTAGACACCTGCAGGAGACATTGTACGGTTTACAGTAGCATTAAAATATTCTTAAATGCATTTATATTTGGTTTTAGAGGGGTTGAAAAGTTAATTCAGATTCAACTAAACTCTCACCTTCATACATTTTCTTCACATAACGGATGAAATTTAACTTTTGTACCAAATTCCAGCACAATTACATTATTAAAATGTTGATCAATAAACATTGTTTTTATTTATTTATTATTTTATTTTAATTAATTTAATTAATTTATAGTAAATGGATCCTTCATACAATTAAAACAAGACGACATACTGTAATTGATTTGTACAAGTGCATGAATACATGGCTACGATCATTTGCAAGGTTTATGGGGTATAAAGCTTTTTTTCATGAATTTTTGCAACGTCAACTGTTAAGTAAACTGACAGCCAAGTCACAAGTTCATGTGACAGTCATTTGACAACTTCAGGAAAGCCATGAGAGTGAATGACCTAAAAGAAACAATCCAATGTTTTAGCCACTAATCTATTGTTACCTCCGCCAAGGGCGAGGTAATGTTTTCGGTCGTGTATGTCTGTCTGTCGTTCTGTCAGTGGACAATATTACTCAAAAACTTGTGGACTGATTGTCATGACATTTTTAACACATGTGGGTACTGGGCCAAGGAACACACCTTTAAATTTTGGTGATGTTCCGGATCACGATGTGGATTCAGGAATTTTTTTTCTTTTAACACTCTGAGATCGGCAAAGCTGTGATGCTTTCACAGGGCTTCTGTAAAAACAGTGAGCTGGATTGGACAGCACGGACTTCAAACTTTATAAAAGTAATGTTAAAACCAGATTTAATGAGTAATTTTTGCCATAATATGCACATTTACAGAACGTTTTGTGACCAGGAAGTGCCTGACTGCACCATGAAACCTATTTTTCACATTTCCTCAAACACATCACATTTCCGAAACAACCAATCAAAACAGTTTCTCACTACTAGGTTTATAAACAGAGAGCTGCCGGGCCTCAAAGTTTGGAGACAGGGGAAGCCAGGAAGCACTTTATAAAGAGAGTCAAACCATTACAAACTCATTCAAGGGGATAAAACAGACGTTTTACATGGTGAAATGTGACTGATGAAAACTTAGGAGCTTAATCTGACACCAGTTTGACGATGAATAACGTCGGGTGACGAGTCTGACTTTTTTCCCCCACATTGGACTCCACTGGGAAGAAATCCCTTGCATCCTGCCTGCTTAAATGTTCGCTATGTCAGAACCTATTCGGCAAATGTGTTTCCATCTCTGCTTTTGCGCATTAACTCTATTACAGGATGGGGGAAATTGGTCTTGGCAGAGGTTTGCACTCTCCGAGTGCTTCTCGTTTCAGTATGAAAATGACAGCTCCAAAAAGGTGAAAGTTAAATCCAACCTTTGACAGTCAACCATAATTTCACATCTAGAAAAACATTGAAATGATCTGTGCTGTTTTACAGTAAATTAAAGAAATGTATATTACTCTGTTTGGCATCATCTCATCATGTAGTTTACTCAGCGTAAAGCTGCAGTATTTATTCCACCGTGTCCTTTGGCGTACCTGCTGATGCAGCGCAAACAGAAGGCCTTCCAGTTGGGTTTCCAGCACTCTGCTGCCCATGTTGATAGAAGCATCCAGAACTTGGCACAAGCTCTGGTCAACACAAAAACAAACTGATTAGCTTCAAGCAAGCTTTAAGCGTATCATGCTGCAATTATTACAAAATTAAAAAAGGCACTGCTCAGACATTAAAGCTGATAAAAATGGAAGTTTACAAATGGGTCAGAAATAGAGTTTTAGAGTTAGAGTTTTTTTTAATTTATTAGTTTGTTCTGGACTGTTTGTACCCACTTTGCTAATGATGTAGTGCTCTGTGTTTTTCTTGTACAGGGACATGATGGCAGGGACGATTCTGGGGAGCTGTTCTTCCAGTTTTTCACTGGGCATCAGATGACACATCGAGCCCACTGCCTCAGCCACTGTCAGCCTCAGCTGAAGGAGACAGAGACGGGCAGGATAAGAAGTGACAGACAAGACAGGCTGAGTGATGCGGTGTGGATTCACTGCTCCAACACCAACTTCTTACAGATGAGAGTGGGAATCAGAGAGGGGGAGGAGGGAACAGAATTTAAACTATTTGATAAAACCATTTCAAAATAAATTAGTGCATGGTAATTTATTAAAATGAAACAGAACATGTGTTCATTATCCAAGTAAAAGCTGTTAAGTGTCAACTCAATACAAACGTATGACATTGTTTCGTAGGTAATTGGTTACTCCAGCGGACTAAAATGTTTATCAAATTTTAAACATAAATTCTCACCTTTAAACTCCTAAAAACTACATTTCAACAAGCAACAAACTGTTTTTTAGGTAGTTTGTTCATGCTGTGGGTGGAGCATGATGGTTTTGGAACTCGGTGGACTAAAACGACATTACCTTGGACTCTCTGCTTTGTAGCCAGTTATTGAAGAGGATATCAAAAGCAGAATATATTTCATTGGAAAATGTGTCTTTTCTGACAGTGGGATCTGGTGCTTTGTCCAGATTGGCCAAATATTCCAAGATGCTGTCACTGAAATGACACAAAGCTGGAAGGAGAGAAGGAATGAAAGGGGAGATAAATTTAAAATGATATCAGTGTACTTTTGTTTTATCCATGTTTATCCAATAACTTACACTCTTTAAGATTAAACAAAAAACAGACAAGGTACAAAAATATGCATTTCAGAAAAGGTGGTGATAAAATACTTTTTTGAGATTCGTACCAGATGAAAAGACCCACTTCATGTTGTCCTGTTTGGCCAAGGTCAGCATCGGCAACATGGTGCCCAGTATAGCATTTAGAAATGGTACCATCCCATAAACTAAAGGGCAAGAGAACAGATTAGTGGTACTTCAATGCTTAAAACATCCTCTTTGAGCCAGAAAAGCACAACCAGCAAACCATTAATCTCCTTGTTCTTTATAAACTCTTGATGCCTCTTCAGTGAGTCTTTATAGCAGAAGGTTTATACAAACAGAGTTTATAAATCATCCTAATTCACATTATTACTTTGAACATTCAGGCAAAGTACACTTCAGGGAAAAACAGCTCAAACAAACCTTTCTAGGCTTGCATTGCCAACTTTCCCGCAGCGTGGTTACAATTTAGTTTAATCTATTTGCTGATGCCTGCTGATCAGTTTATTTAACTCAAGTAGTTAAAGCACTTCTGAGAGTTACATCAGTTTAGAAAATGCTAACTTTCATTTAAATAAGTAAAGTGATTTTGGACTACAAACAAGTTTAACTTCTGATTAATCAAAAATAACTTCACATTTAGGGCAAAACCCACTTCTAATCTTTAAAAGCCGTTGATTGCTTCAAAGTAAATAAAATCTTTGACCTGTGAGCAGGTTTAACAGGTTCCTGTTTTACTCAACGGTTACAACAAACTTCTAACTTCACTGTCATGACATGACCGTGTTGAATGTGTGTCCTTTGTCTTATAGATATAACTGCAGGTTTCTTTCCTTTAGCTTGTTAGTGATGGTTTTCATACCATTTGAGTCGGAGAGGTTGGCTAGTGTTTGAACCACAAAGAAGTGAGGCAGGACCCCTGGCTGGAACTTGCTCAGGATCTCCTCCATGATTTCATTGATGTATTTGTTTCCTACAGCAACCAAGATGTTACTGGCTGCCTTCTGCCAGTTAGGAATGACCTCCTGAGTCAACCAGAACAGAACAACAATAAAACATGTTGGAGCTGGAAATGTTACGAATTACAATATTTGAAATACACAATGAAATCCAAACGACATTTTTGGATGTCATGTAAACAAAGTAAGTTAAAAGCAAAGAGCCAGTGATTTACCTTTGACCGAGTCATCTCATCTGAGGCCAGAGAGAGGAGGCTTTTTATTCTGGGAGCGCTCAGATCATCTATACTGCAGCCAACGATCAGCTCAATGGTCTGAAGGATCACAATTCTGTGAGTCACGACCAACTACAGGAGGGTGAGACGATGAAGAGGAGAATATGAGAGTTTCAAAACAAGACTGAAAAAAGACCAGCTTTAAAATGTGAGGAATTACAAGTAAATATAAAAGAAATAGTTTGGTTTTTTTTACTGAAAAGATATAGGTTTTTGTTTTAAAGTTGTAAATGTTTAAACTTGTTCTAAACAAAAATTAAAACTATGGTCCATGTCCTTATTCAGCTGTTTTCTAAGCCATTAATTTACAACCAACTACATGCAAATTTGTTTTGTTGCAATACAATTATTATTATTAGACAATGTTTGGTTGATTATATTTCTGTTCAGAAACTAGACATCAGGATGTTTGTAGCAGCAGATTATAGTCAGTTTTTATTACACCAAAGAGCCGGAGACTCAAATGCGGCAAATATTTAAAAAATAAAATAAAATACCGTCAGACGATGTCTTAAAAAGTTCTAAACTCTTCAACTCTGAATCACCTTTAATGTAAGCCAGTTCATAACTGATGATGCAGTGTATGATCTTTGTATAAAGTGTTAAATACAACTAAAATGAGAAATTATTTCCACCCAAAGCTTGTTGAATTATAATACACGAAGACACAAACCTTCAAATCTTTTTCTCTCACCTGTAGCTCAATTATCTTTTTTTTATTCACTAGTTTGTTCATAAAGTTTGATTCATAATAATGAATCTGTTTAAGAGACTCATTGCAAAGCATTACATCTGCAGGGAATAGCTAGTGTTTTAATAATTTAAAAAAAAATCAAGGTATTCAAAGTATGTGACTATTTTAAAATGGTTTCAAATAAATTCTGCTGTAAAAAGCAAATTTGTTTTTAACAATATTTCTGGATATTTTGTACACATTCAAAATTTTCAGCTGCCTCTTTGGACAGTTTTAGTGTTTGGGATTAAAAGAAAGTTAGAAGTTTGGAGAAATTTGTAGATTTTTACAGATAAACTTCCTGAGGTGATATCTGTAGTGTGGACTCAATGACACAACCTGATCTCTGCCTTTAACTCGTCACACAACACAAGTGGAGCAGCCGGCAGCTCGCCAAACAGAAAACACAAACATATATTGAGATTTTATTAGAAATTACTGCATGTTAAATCTGACTGAAGGGTCTATTTGGGATTAACATTTACAATTTGTACAAAAGCAAACAAAAAGCTCATTTAAATGAATAGTTTAACTCAGATGAATTAAACTATAAATTCAACAGATCAACTAATTTCATGATTTCGTTTCGATGGTGACTGATTTTTCCTGCTGTTGCTCCTGAAGCAGATGTCTGAAACAGTTTCACTTCCTTATTCAAACTGCATCATGTACAAAGTACACATCAGAACCCCTTAATCTGCTGATCATCGCCAAAAAAAAATAAAAATAAAAATTACTGCTTAGAAGTTAGTTCCCCAAAAGGTTAGAGTGACTTGCACATGACTGCCTTCTTGAAAGTGCAATACCGTGAGGACAGATGCAGCAAAAGTAAACAATGTTGAGTCATCGTGAGTTAGATCAATACATTTTCCTGTTGTGTGACTCTGGGACTTCTCTGTATTATGAAAGACCTCAGGTTGTGAACAGGTTCCCTGAACGTTAAATGTTTAGTGAACGTGACTAAATACTACTAAAGACAAAAAAAATTAGACAACACTAAATGAACAACTAAATGTTCATTCCCATCATTGTCATGTTATCTGATCTGAGATAAAGTAATTATTTCTCAAGGAGGATGGTTGAAGAGCAGCTAAAAATGAACAACCTTGAAGTCTTCTAGTTTAAGAGATAATTACATACAGCGGGTAAAGTATTGAACACGTCAACATTTTTCTCAGTAAATACATTACTAAAGGTGCTAATGACATGAAATTTTCAACAGATGTTGGTAACAACCCAAGTGATCCATACATACAAAGAAATCAAACCATAAATGCCCAGAAATGAAGTTATTTGTAATAATGTGGAATGGCACAGGGAAAAAGTATTGAACACACTTACTGAAATTTATCTAATACTTTGTACAAAAGCCTTTGTTGTCAATGACAGCTTCAAGACGCCTCCTGTATGGAGAAACTAGTGGCATGCATTGCTCAGGTGTGATTTTGGCCCATTCTTCCACACAAACAGTCTTCAAATCTTGAAGGTTTCGTGGACCTCTTCTATGAACTCTGATCTTTAGTTCTTTCCATAGATTTTCTGTTGGATTCAGGTCAGGTGATTGGCTGGGCCATTCCAGCAGCTTTAGTTTCTTTCTCTGAAACCAAATGAGAGTTTCCTTGACTTTGTGTTTGGGCTCATTGTCTTGCTGAAATGTCCAGCCACGTTTCATCTTCATCATCCTGGTAGATGGAAGCAGATTTTTATCAAGAATGTCTCTGTACATTTTTCCACTCATCCTTCCTTCAATTATTTGAAGTTTGCCAGTACCATATGCTGAAAAACAGCCCCACACCATGATGTTCCCACCTCCAAACTTCACTGTTGGTATGGTGTTTTGGGGCTGATGTGCAGCGCCATTTGACCTCCAAACATGATGTGTATTCTGGCATCCAAACAGTTCAATGTTGGTCTCATCTGACCAGACTATATTCTCCCAGTATTACACAGGCTTGTTTAAATGTTGTGCAGCAAACTTTAAAGGAGCTTCAACATGCTGTTTCTTCAGCAGTGGAGTCTTGCATGGTGAGCGTGCATACAGGCCATGGTGGTTCAGTGCATTACTTATTGTTTTCTTTGAAACAATCGTACCTGCTAATTCCAGGTCTTTCTGAAGCTCTCCACAAGTGGTCCTTGGCTCTTGGACAACTCTTCTGATAATTCTTTTCACTCCTCTGTCAGAAATCTTGTGAGGAGCACCTGGTCGTGGTCGGTTTATGGTGAAATAATGTTCTTTCCACTTCTGAATTATGGCCCCAACAGTGCTCACTGGAACCTTCAGAAGTTTAGACATTCTTCTGTAACCGATGCCATCATTATGCTTTGCAACAATAAGGTTGTGAAGGTCTTGAGAGAGCTCTTTACTTTTACCCATCATCAGATGGTTCTTGTGTGATACCTGGCCATGGTGTCTTGGCTTTCCATGCCTTTTTACACCTCCCTTTCTTCATGTGTTCAATACTTTTTCCCTGTGCCATTCCACATTATTACAAATAACTTCATTTCTGGACATTTATGGTTTGATTTCTTTGTATGTATGGATCACTTGGGTTGTTACCGACATCTGGTGAAAATTTCATGTCATTAACACCTCTAGTAATATATTTACTGAGAAAAATGGTGACATGTTCAAAACTTATTTTACCCGCTGTATAATAATATAAATATTGTTCTTAAATACATGCATTTTACACAAATGAGGATTTTCAAATCTAAGATTCATTCAAAAGCTAAAATGAAAGCAGCGAACCTTGTTTTTTGTAATTGTGGATTAATCCCAAGTTGTCAATAATAATAATAATAATAGTAGTAATAATAATAATAATAATAATGTCATCAACTAAATTAATTACCTAGTTCTAATTTTTAATAAATATTTTTTATCCTAGTGTTATTTTGTCTTTATTTTATTAAACAGTTATTTCTGGAGCAGGGCTTAGGATTGGTTTTGACTTCTGCGAAATAAAGTCTACAGTAGGACTTCTGAAACATTAATAATAGATAATTCACTGCCAGGCTATGAATGAAAACATAAGCAGAGTTGCTCTACATTTAATTGCCAAATGCAATGAAACACTGTTTCGATCTGTGCAGAGGTACCTGCACAGATCTAAAAAAAATTTAAAAAAACCTTTTCTGTAAAGCTAAAGTTTAAAAGAGTATCCTACTTTGTAGGATGCACAATTTTCACCTTAGGATTCTTCATGAGGTAATCCTGACACATTGCCAGCACTCGGTCTGGCTGCTGCTTTCCCAGAGTCAGCATGGACTTTCTGACCTGCTCCTGGACGTCTGAGTCTTTATCATTGGCTGCATCTAGTAGAGCCAGTGTCACCTCTAAAGGAGGGGAAGGAAGAACACATAAGAAATGTCAGAGGTCTGGAGAAAAATGTTTTTATGTAACAAGCCTTTGAAAGGAGAGAAAAACTCACGTTCTACGTCTGTGTCATCCATGGCTGCGTCCTGGAGCAAAGATTCAACTTTTCTCCTGAGGGCAGATTATCAGAGGCTCCCTGGAGCTGGGAAACAGAGTTAAATGTGAATCAGTATTTCCATGAGTGCAAAAAACATTAATAAGTAGAGGTCCACCAAACCTCTCTTTATTTTATTTTATTTATTTTTGCAAAGTGAGCCATGTGTGTTGATTTTGTTTTTCAAACAAATTTATTCCAGTATTTCATAAGACATGTTTCCAAATATATATATTGTAAATATCACAGCTAGTATAAAGTGTTGTGTATTGGTTGTGTTAAGATGCATCAACATGGAGTATGTTGTGTTTTAAAGTAGGAACTCAACCTGAACAAAAGTTTTTACAGTTGCTGCAAATTAATCATACAAAGAATCTTCTGACAGGGGGTGTTCTACACTTCCTAAACTGTTTGGTGGCTTTAAAAAAAACATTAAAACAAAACTATTAATATACATGATTACTGAGAACTAGTCAAAAGCTGTTACAAAATGCCTATCAATTGGTCAATCATAGCTGTCACACTTGTTTGTCTACTCCTCCTAGGAAAAACGCATTTACCTTTTTACCGAGGCTGAATAAAATCTAATAATAATAATAATCTAATAACATTAAAGGCAGAAATAGTTTGTGGTGACATCCAACTAAAACGGGCAGAGTAGCGGCGTTCGGTGCTGCTATTATCTTTTCAGAATCGGTAAACCTGGTGGTTAAGGTGCAGCAGTCACCAAACCCACTGAGACACGTTAGCATGCTAACTTTAGCAGCCACTGCTACGGAAGTGCCGCTAACCTCCACAACAACCAGCACCAAAACAAGACCGGAGCTAATGAGGCTAACTCTTCACTCACCACCTACCAGAGAGCGTCCCGGCCGAACAGTAACGTTTCAATGTATCACAGGGTCAGGTCTCGTCTTGGTTTGACAGACTGACAATGGCACAGTCTCCGTGTGAGCGTGTACCTGCAGGTGTAAACACGCCTGGTGTGGTCATGTGCTTCTTGTCAGCAGGAAAATAATCAGCCTGATTGGGGGCGTGTCCACAGAGCAGCACTCAGACCGCCGACATGCGAACATGGAGCTGCTCCATGCAGTTTTGGGATTTCAACATTTTTTTTTTTACATTAAACGTTTTTTTTTTCTATCCATAAAATCAATGTGGTTTAGTTCTGCAAGCAGGTTTGTTTCTACACACAGGCACCCACTAAAAAACAAACAAAAGATTAAACGTAGCTGTGTTTTGTAGAAAAGAGGGTGTTTCTACTTCTTGTCATAGCTTTTCTTATTGTTGAAACCAGATCAAATTTGATGAATACCAGATTGATCTTTATCTTAGGGGAAATCATTAATATTTAAGTTACTTCACTGAGCCCGTTCATTATAACTTAAACTAAATGCATTTTTTTATCATTTTATTACAAAATAAAAACTAAACTAAAAGATTTTAAAATCAGTATTTGTAATATTGTCTTAGTTACCACATTAAGATGAGTACTAT